AGTTTAAATTCCAAGTATGTCAAGACATTTTTTGTGGACATACTGTAGAATTAGCACTTGATTGTGGTTCTGAAGACAGGTTGAATCTAGCTTTCGTGATCTGTTATCCTAATAATTCAAACTTTTTTCTGTTTCATGGTCTCTAAAGACCCATTCAAGGGTCTATAAGCACTTAGAGCTATTATATAAGCTGTACAGATGAAATCTTAACGTGAGGAAAACTGATATTTTAAATACTGACAATAAGAAAAATCTTATGATAATAGTATATTTAAATTGCTTTATTAAAGTGTGTGGTATCCATGTATTTATCATCATGATATCAGAATTTTCATTAGTAGAAAATAAGCCAGATGACTTAACAAAGAAATGAAATATGACTTTTAGTATCCACTGAGCATTAAATTTATCCTTTATGGAATCTTGTTTAGTCATAGTCCTATCTTATACTTCCCTTAGCACATTAACTGCCATGGGAGTTGTATAAACTCGCACTAGTTTTGAGCCTGGGGCATCGTGAAACATGTAACTCACATGTCTCTTCACCTTGAGAGCTGTGAGTACTATTTTTCAATTTGTATATAACTCACACACAGAAAAAATAAAAAATAACAAAGTTTTCATTAAATTAGAAAGGATCATTTTCTTTTCGAAGTTTTTATTCTATTTTCCTAATAAAACACCATGGCCCCAAGAAAAAAAATTTTTTTCTAGTGTGGTAGTTAATGTGTTAAAGGCTGGTTGTTAGCATCCCTAAGTTGGAGGTCTTTTGGCTAACATTCACCATATACCTCCACCAAAACCAACTAAACATACAAAAATGTGCTTTGTAGACAAGCAAATAGACAACTAAATCCTCTTTGCAGGTTGAAACCCTCCTCTGAAAAAACATTCTTATAGGCAGATCACCATGTAACTCAAAGAGTAGAAATTTTCCATTGTTTTTCTCTGTTCTCATCAGTACCTAAGAAGTCCCAGGGTGCCAGAACCTCATCTGGGAAGAGGTTGGGTACCCCTCCAGCCCGAGTTGCTTACATAATCTACCTGTAGTTTGATTAGATTAATTAAACATTGAAGTATACAGTCAGTCCTCAGGTTACTCATATAAGCAGCCAAGTGTAGATTTTCTTTTGTAAATCTGACCTACAAAACAGTGCTAAAGAGGTATCTAGAATGCTCAAACTAGAACTTACAAAATATAGATGTTATAATAATGGTTAGGTGCTTTTTGCTCTGGCTAAATTCTACTTCTCAGCTTTAGCTTCAATGATCTAAATGTATGACCCATTTCATAATTTTTTCTTTTTGATAAGTCTATAATCTTTTTGACCTTATAATCCATGATTCATAAAGTTAAAATTTATCTAGCCAAAGAGACTTCTGTGACTAGCAGACCCCAGATTTATCTCTTTGGTGTTGGGACTATTTAGTAGTTTCTGCTAAGTCTTCAGTCCCTTACACCACAAAGAGTACTTCCAGATAATTTTTGGTGGCTAGACCTGCCACCACATTTTCCATACATAGTATCACCCCACCCTCTACTCCCTGTATACATGTATGTTCTTTCTTTCATGCTGTTGATCATACCACAAAATGCATTCTTTCTTGGATCTGTTAGCATCCAAAGGGAGAATGTTGAGCCTATGATTTCAAAGACTATCCCTGAAAGTTTCCATTTTCTTTGTTCCAAAAGTAAATTTTTAAAAATGTGCATTGTGGAAGAACACAAAAAACTTTTTTTTTCCAATCTTGTATATGCATTATTAGAAATTAAATTGTAGAAAAAGTGAACTCCATTTTTAATTTAGGCAGAACAAGAATCCCCCCTTCCTCAATTACTTTTTTATAATGTTCAGTATTTGGTCCATCTTTTTTGTATCTTGTAAAATACATCTAGACTCTTAAATACCTAGCTTAAGTACTTAAGACATATATTTAGGATAATAGTGAATTGTGGAATATAGGATCCCTATCTTGTTTTCAAAGATGGTGAACTTGCCTTTTTGTATCTGTAGTGTTGACTCTCAGGCTAGGTTTATAATTCTAGAGAATCAAGTCAAAAGGATGTAGTTGGGTTAGTAGCTATGAATACCCTGTATCAGATTATTCAGGTCCAGAAAGAAGAATAAGCTTCATGTGGTATGAATGTGCACATATGCCTTTTCAGTGGGTAACTATCATATACAAGGTAAATTGAAATAATCTTAGGCCAAAAAATAGTCTTATTTGCTATCTTTATTCATTGTCTACTTCCTTAATATGGCATTCTACATAAAGGACAGAGTGTATCATTTCTTCCCTTTTTGAAAATGAGCTCTACAGATGTTTAAAGAGCTGTTATATAGTTGTGTACTCATGTGTGTTACAAGTGTACAGATCAGTATAGTTAGCTAATTTTTGAATGCCTACTAGTACAAATAAGGATTGTACAAAAGGTATTATTGTTGTTTTTTAGCTCTGGAATACAAATCTTCTACTTTGAAATGTGTTCCTTCTCCAGGATTAAGGCCTGTAGTGTTTTGTCGTTTTAATTTATGGATGCACGTCAGGCAGCCCACAGAAGGTTCTCCTAAACCTCAAGAAGACTATTTCCAATAATTTTCTTGCTGTTAAGGCACATTGAACATTTTAACTTAGAGCATTTTCTATTTGTACAGTTATCCTGCAATGTAATTGACTTAAATTGTTAAGGAAAACCAAACATTTCTATCACTTAATCACATAAGCCAAGATTTCTAACTGTAGTTCAAATTCTGTTATCAATGGCAGAAGCTCACAGACCTCTTCCACCAAAGAGTTAAATTCTTTCATCAAATATGTTTATGAGGGGCCACCGCTTTGTTGGCTGTACTGCCTTTTTTTTTTTTTTTACTTTCTAGTTCACTAATCAAATGTATGTTAGATTGATTATTGTAAAAGTATAAACCATAGAAAATTTGACAAGATAGATGTGTAAATTATCCTTCTGACAGAACTAATGATGCACTCCAAGCACCTTCTGTTTTCCAGCCTTGGTGAGCGACTTCATTAAATATGCAATGGCTCTTGGGTGGCTTCTCAGAGGATGGTTCAGTTCTTTGTGGAATTGCATTATACTAGAGGTGTAAAACCAGGCAGACAAGCTAGCTGTTGGGCATCCTGCTGAGGTTCTAATGTGCTCCATCTTGTTGGAGCAGTTGTTTGCAGTCTTTTCAGGACAATTACATCCATAACCACAGGACACATTCAGTGAAACTATATTACAGATAACAGTGGAGACTGGCATTGGCTGCTTTTCACCCCTTGAGCTGCCTAAGTGTGGGTAGCTTATAGTGATATAGTAACGCCACTTTTACCACTCACAGAATAGTTGCTTTTTTTTTTTTTTTAGTCTTACATAGCAAATCTGGAAATAACTGATTTTTAACTTTTTTTAAATGCTTAAAATGACAGAGTATTAGAGGTGAAGAGACTTATAGATGCTAATATATTTGCAGTTGAGAAAACTGAGGCTGAAGCATAGTTGTGGGTTGTCCCTTAGGGAGACAATAGAAAGTCCTGGTAGAACATCTTTTAGGTAGCCAAGATTGCATGAATAGGAATTTTTACTGTGTAGCTTTTGGTTTTAGAGCTGTGTTAAACAAAATTTTTCATTTTAAGATTTTTTTCCTGCTGAACCTCATTCCCCCTCCCACCTTAACACCAGCAATGCTTTCTTATTTCAAAAAGCCAAGCAAAAATATCTTACTTCCTGAGGGTATAATGCAGTTTATTATTTTGATGACAATATGATGGTTTCCTGGAGACCTGGACACAAAAGATGGTTTGAGTTGAGCTTAAAATGGTATTTAAGATTTCTAAAAGGCAGATGCTATGATGTATCACTATAGCCTGATAAATGAGAGTGCATTTTAGAATGACAGGCCGAATACTTTTAATGAAAGAAGGTTTCCCATTTCAGTTGGCCAATTAAATCACTGTTGATGACTTTGGATCATTAATGAACATTTGTGGAAAATGACCATTTGAATTCAATTATTATAATAATGTGTTTTTTGGAGAAGTACTAACCACAAATAACCCTAACTATAAATTGAAAGATTTATCCATTTTGCCACAGATAAGTCAGCATATTGCTTTGCTTTTTAATGCCAAAACAAATTGACATTTCACAATTCTTTTACAGGTTAAGTACATATTCTTTCTTACAAAAGTTCTACTTAGAAAAAGTTATGTTTTTCATTGAGTACCTTTTAAAACATATTTTATACTGCTAACCATTATGTTACTTCATTATTCTCAGACAAATTAGCAAGACCTAGAAATAAAGAAGGGGAACTTTATACAGTATGTGAAAGCAAAAGATTAAGTTTAAGATGGATTAGGTATGTGATTTATTTAGTGCCTTTAAAAAACCCTCAAATCTCAAAAAGCAATCGGAGGAAAATGGCCATTATTTGAGAACATGCAAATTTATTTAAAACTGTAAAAAGAATGTAAATGGAAAACTTTATAAGCAGATTTTTTTCTTAAGCCTATGAAAGGTTCAGTTTTTTTTAAGCTTTTTGTGCTTCTTAAAATATTTTCAAGATATACTATCATTTTCATTAAGTATACACAACAAATTCATCTTGATATGCTATTCTTTAGTTAAACTTCATTTTCTCTGAAACTTTGGTGTATTTTGATGGTTAAGACAGGGGTGGGTTCTTTTGAAATGCATGTTTTTCTCATCTTGTTATTTGTAAAATGGGCTGTAATCTCACTCCAAGCTTCCTTCAATCTCCATTTCATAGTTTACAGAGAAAGGAGACACCGCGGAGCACAGACTTCCCCTGGGAATACATTGGGCTTAATGAGCTTGATAGTCTGGTGGGCTCAATAAATCAAATAAAGCAAAACATTTCTCATTTTTGAATAAAAGCATTTATCACACAGTGTTTGTTCACTCATGGTCACAAGATTGATTGGTTCCCAGCATCATAGTGTATATTGAAGCATTTTTGATTTTGTTTTTCCAGTGGGCAAGTTACGGAAGCAATGGCTAAAGGAAAGTATCTCTGATGTCGGCTTTGGGATGCTGAAGTCTGTCAAGGAATATGTGGACCCCAATAACATCTTTGGAAACAGAAACCTTTTATAAATCCATTAGTATCGTTTAAAAAAAATGTCACTTTTTAAAAAAAGTGTTCAACTATGGTTATACCAGTAATCAAATATATCATGGACTATATTTTGGCTACATTTGTTTATTGATTTAAAATAAGTTTGTTTTCATTGTGTAGTTTGTTTTGTTTCTACATCTATGGATTGACAGATGGTATTCCTAAATCTCTCTCATTGTAGGTGCATCAGTTTACAGCCAACTGATTGTCATTTCAAATTTTAGTCAAGCAGCTCCAGGCTGCCAGTTATTTCAGAGGAAGATGCTGCCAGCTGTTTTGTATTGATGCTTCCTCCTGGGGAACAAAGGCAGATTTTGGTGTCATCTATTGCTCATCTAGCTTCTTTTTAAAAGAATATTTCTGGGAAGCAGGTATCTAGGGAAGGGGATTCCCCTGAGGAATGATACATGTGTATGTTTATTAAGAGCATATTCTAGTGTGAGTAGGCCATTAGGGGAATATATTCATGAAAGGATATAGGCAGCCTGTTATTTAGAATGCTTTCAGTTTGGTAAGGTGCTTGGCCTACATTTTTCTTTGAAATTACTATACAGGTATAAAACCTTAAATCAGCAGTATACAAAGTATTCTGTTAGGGGACATGTTTTTCTCTATGTGTCTGTTTCTTCTGAGATATGAGTTGTATTTTTATTACTGAGATAACCTATTGTTATAACCTAGTTCATTTATAATATGTTTTGTAAGAAAAGCTGACTTATCACTCATTGTAAGTGAAGAACAGGTTTACCATGAAATGAATGCCTTTATTCAACTTAGAGTCCTAATGTTTCTGATTTCACATTCTTGTTGCTGAGATGCAGAAGAAGAAGCTACAACAGGAGCAGAAGAAAGACTTCTTACACATAATGTCTCCAGTTGAAAGAATTGTTTGGCTAAGAAAACAGTCATTGTTTAGCTATTGAAGTTGAAAGCCTAAACAGTTTCAATGACAAAAATCTTTTTTAAAAAAATTAACTCAAACAGCATGTAAATTTTCATATAAAAGTAAAGTGTCAATTTAGTTTTTAAATAATGATTTAATGCCTTTTTTGAATTACTGGTTTAACCTAAATTTAAAACAAAATTAATGTATTATTGCATATACCATAATCAAAAGTTTGAAGTATTCTCTTTCTTAAATGAGAACATTAATCACATTAGCAAGCATTTTTACATTCAAACCTGGATATTAAAATAAGTGAAATGATTACTTTGAATCACTGTCTGTCAGGGTTCATGATTCACATTTTGAGATGGATTCTTTTCTTAATACCTAACTTTTGATAGTTTTTTAAAATTAATATTTGATCAGCTAATGTAAGTCAAAATGCAGACGATCCTTTAAAAGGACACACTGTCTGTCTATGTAGCAACAGCTCTAAAGTATTTTTGGGCAGTTTGATACCTTTTATATCTGAAGTAGCCTTAACCAGAAAAATGAAAATTTAAAATTGACAAAAAGATATTTTTAAGACTTCAAAATGGTAAATAATTTTTAACTATTAAAATTGGCCTCAAACTAACTAATAAACTTAAATCTATAAGCAAATCAAAATTAATTAGTTTAACAACAAAACTAAATATTTATTTTTTAGAAGCTGCCTCTCTTCATTGGTGATTTATTTTTAATTATAAAATTTTCAGCAGATCTTTGCTTAAAGCCCTCGATATTTGAAATAGTTGGACACTTGGGAAGATTACCTCTAGAATTATAAAAATCTTAGCTTTATAAAATGCATCTATTCATCAAGGTAATTTCTCTAATTGGTGATCAATATATAAAATTTAATAAGCTATTAATGTCTCACTGGAAGGATACACATGTTTCTGAGTAATTTTTTTTTTTTTTAAATAAAACAGATTCATAAGCAGATTCATTCCTTTGCATGTGATTGTTATACCATTCTCTCCCAGGGAGTTCAGATTTCAGCCACCTTGGAAAATCTGTATTTGATATTAGGAAACTATAAATGTATCACCTAATATTATTGTGTTCACTATTCTACATGAATCTTCAGGAAATTAATGATTTATGTCATTTTGTTTTTCTTTTTCAATGTATGCAGAACTCCCCAACCTTGATTTTATAATGGTGACTACATTTTGTAGTTGGAATCATTTCTACAGGGATCATTTTGAAACATAAGAACATTCATCAGTAGTGTTTTGCCCTGATGTTGTAAATCAGAAAGCTTTCCCCCCACTTTCACACACCCACTTCTGGAGGTGCCTCAGTATAGACTTAGTGTCTGTGGAGGACTGAGTTCATGAATATGCACAGAAGCACTTAAACCATGCCTCTTATTTCTGAAGTATCTAAAAATGGCCTCGTTAAAGTTAAAGCCAGGAGATCATTATGTGAGGCTTCTTAACTCATTTTGAAATAAGTTTATTTAAAAATTTAAAAGCCCAAATGTAGTCCATTTGGTTTTCAGTAATGTGCAACACTGACTTCTTTTTCTTAAATTGGTCATATTTGTAATATTTTACTTAAGTTTGATGATGTCACATTTGGAATGGGTTTCAATGAGAATGGAAACTTGCTGCTACCGAGAAATGGCATTGAATACTAAAGACTCAATATGAACAGGCTTTATTGACCTTTAGGGAAACTGTTGCCTTAATGTTTGGTGCAATTTATAGTAGTGCATAAGTGAATTTAGTCTTATGATAAGTGACTTGAGCTTTTTTTAGTTTCGTAAGAATCGTAGAAGCCACATGTTTATTGTGCCCTTCGTTTTACACAGAGAAGATTGGATTCTTTTCTCTTCTGAAGAACTAGGAGTTTTCTTCCTAAAAGTGCTTACATATTATAATACTATTACTTAACAGTTATTTATGAAGCTAGAAGCCTTCTAGTATGCATAGTTGTGTATTTTGACAACAAAAGCTCAATTAAGGATGAGCTTCCATCAGTGTCTATATTATACCACATACAGATGGTTGCAAGGAAGCCTTTTTTCCCCAGAATATTCTGTTAGTAACTGCTAAGTCCTAGTTGCATTTTTGAAAATGCCTTTCTGCATGTTGGCCCCCAGCAATCTTCCTTTGTCATATTCTTTCTTAGCTACAACTTCTTAACTGTAGCTGATCAGAGATACTCTGTAGTCCCAAGCTGAATTGTGTTCCCATGGCTGTTCAAAATGGGGCTGGGTTTGGTTGAGCTTCTATTCCATATAAATGTCAGAAAATAGTTATTTACTACAGATTGATTTGCAAACTGCATGTGCTGGTGCTTGAGGCAGCCAAAATGGAATGCTGTAGAAAGCATATCTATATTTTAAGAAACACTGAGACAGGAATTAAGGATAGCTTTAATAACTCTTTGTTTACCACTTAATCTTTAGCAACTTTGTTTTTAATTAGGACTTAGGTCATGGTGGGAGAAAAGTAGAAAGTAACAAGTGCCAGTTTACGATTGAAGAATCCAGACTGTTTCACCTTTGGCTTTGAGTTATGGAAGCTTGACCTTGCTCTAGGCTTCACTTTCCCAAATGAGCCATATGTCAGTATATTCCCTCAATTCTTACTAATTTCAATGTCCTGGAAAGGAAACAATTTATACATTGATGCTAAAATCCAGAAAGTGTCAAAGGTTTTCTTAAATGGTTGAAATATAGTGTCTGATATAAGTTACTCAGCTTTCTGCTCCCTAAGCCAAACAGTATTTGTCTTCAATGTGAAATTTTACTGTAAAAACTACTTGTAATGTGAAGAGATTATAGAAACATATTGTTAATAAAATGGACCTGGGTCTAAGATTTATTTTTTTTTCTTTAAAGGGAGTGTGAAGCTATTTATTCTTCTGTTTGCATATGGGTTTTTCTTTCAACTTTAGTTTTTTGTCTTCATATTTCCACTGATCTGAAAACAAATTTTTTTCATAATTTTACTGATGTAGCATAATCAAGTGCAAACTATGACTAAATCTTTAGATTTATAGCTGAAGATATTGTTAGCTAGAGTTTATCAATCTCTAATTATTTTTAAAGTCAATGTTATATTCCTAGGAGGTGTGTAGTCTCCTGTGAACCTGAAGCATTCACTTTTGAACCTTGGAAGGTCCTCAAGGAACGCTCTTGTGCTCTTCTAACCACAGTTAATTCCTTAACAAACAAGAGTAAGGACCACTGATGTATTGAACACCCAAGCCGAAGAACCATCACAGAATTCAATAACTTTAGTTCTGTGAATATGAGAAAAAATTCCTTTTTGGTTCCCAAAGGAGATTGTATGTTTTTCCACAAGAAAGAAAAATCAAACATTAAGAACATTTTTTCAGAGACTCTGAATTCCAAATCTGAGAGTGAGAAAAAGAAAAAAAATGTTTTAGTGTGGATTTCTAAACAACATATATATTTTTAGGGTATCTTATTAGTTGGCAGTGCTTTTCATGAAAACCACAGGCATCCTATAAAACACATTTTTAACTCTTAAAGTATCTTGTTCACATATCCAAAAAGGACATGAAATGCTTGTACTGGTATACAGTTTTCAATAAGTAGTTATTTTTTTGAGCTACTTATACAATATCCCCAAAAGTTTACAGTGCCTTGTTGGGATTTTTTTTTTCCATGAAAAAGCCATTATTTAAAATTAGTGGGAGAGGATTCATCTTCAAAGAGAGAGGTCATTCAGTGGTTCAAGATTATTATTCCTCTTCAAGAACATGTCAGGACTTAAGTAGTTGTATGTAGAAACACTGATAATCCTTGCCACACTGTTGGTTTGGATTATCTATTCTAGCATATTTTACTAATTTTATGGTGGACCTGTACTCTGATATACATCTAATCAGTCAATGGGATTTGTATGTGCTTTCCATTCCTACATTTTCATTCCTGCTGCCCCAACCTAGTAGCCCTAAGATGTGGCTTGGTGAATGTGACACCAAGTCTTGAGACACTCACTACATGCTTTTGGATGTTTGCTCACACTGCTCCCTGAGGAGCAGAGCCAGTGAGGGAGGTTTCTATTTCTAATGTTGTGTGTCAGTCTTTTTTTGTGTGATGGTGCCTTCAGAATAATGAATATTTCTGTTCCTGGACAGTGATAAATCTTATGAGAAATATGTGTAGGTTATATAATTTCTGTCCTTTTTAGCTAAGCCTGTGAAATACTTTGGCTCTGATACAACTTGACTTGAATAATATCTTATCCTGAGTCTTCCTCCAAGGCAGTACATATTCCTGCCAGTACTGTAGTAATCTTTTGGGAACTACATGTGGGTAAGCACTCGTATGTAAGCCATTATACTGCTGTAACTAATGCATACAAACAGTTCTTCTCTTTACATTTATAGTCTAAAAGTGGATATGTAGTGAGAAGGAAAATTCCTGAGAGATTCCAGCATAGCTTTGTCAATTCAGACTGAGCCATACTGTTTCCCACAAGGGCTCAACACATAGCCTATCTACCGCGCTTTCAGTGTATGTTCAGATTCTCCTTTTATTGGTTTTCCTAGACTGTATTGTTCTATAAGCAAATGCCCATGTGTGATTTTTATGATGTGCTGGGGAAAAATAAAACAATACCACAACCACTAATTGTTACAGAAATTGTTTATTTCATGTTGATTTCATTTAACCTTTGTTGACAGCATCATGCTATACTTAGAGAAAACAAATAGGATACACTTTGTACAAGAGTAGCCTCTCTAGTAGTGAAGGATATGTGCACAGATCCTAATTCTGTCCCTGCCCAGGGCTCCTACGCTGGAGGGAAAGTTGTAGCTATCCGGGCTCTGAAATGACTGAAGATCAGACCTGCTGAACTCTGTTCCACATGATACACTTCGGTAATCACTAGCTATACTAGGATTTTAGCTCTTCCATTATTTAGTTAAAGAAAGCAATTTCTTACCTAGCTTATATAAATTCAAGTTGAATGAACCTTAGAAACATCCTATCTTATTTCTACCCTATATGTAATTGCTCCCTAACCTTCCACATCTCCCATGCCACAGATAACCAGTCTTCCTGAACATTTGTTGTGACCAAATGGGAATTTAAAGGTTTTCCCTTTCCAACTTCTGAAATTGTTAGGTATTAAGAGGTTTTTTTTCTTATTAGACTGAAATCTGTGTCCCTCTTACCATTATTCAAATTTCTGCCTTCTGTAGTCAAAGAATTGTCAAATTGCTCTGTTGAAGGGGTACTCTTTAGGCATATAAAGATCCATCTCATGTTCCCCCAGATTTTCTCTATTCAACCTTTGTGCCTGTCATTTTTAGACCTTTCACCGTCCTAATCTTCTTCGTATGTGCCTGTTTGATATTTTTGAAATGAGGTGTTTAGCCCTGAATACAAATGTTCCAGAGTAGTACTGATGCTTCCCCTATTTTAGTTAATAATAAATGCATTTTTGGTGGGCATCACACTGTCACTCATACTGAAATTGAATTTAACAAAGTTTGTCTGTTCTGCATGTGACATGTTGACCACATCTCCCTGGAGGCTGATTTTTTTTTTTTTTTTAGGCACCATTACTTATATTTATCCTTACTAAAATTTGTATCTTACTGGATTTAGTTTCAGATTGTCAAATGTTAAGATCTTGACTCTAGCCCAGAATATTTTCTGTCCCATATAGCTTCAGGTCACCAGTAAAATTGACATAAATACCGTCTGGATTCTTATCCAAGTAATGATGGATGACTAGTGTGTGTTTTATATATATAACAAGGGCCTGCCATATATATATATATAACAAGGGTTCTGACCTTTCATCCATGAAAGCATTTAGGATTCAGGCAGCTATACTTCCACTTGACATGCTGCTGTCCACCTCATATTTTTACATTTTGTCTACAAATAGGATTTTTATTCAATGAATCAACATTTATGCCAGATAAACATTAAACAAGCAGTTACGTTTACATAATTTAACTTTGCTGCCAGACTGAAATCCTGCTGAAGCTGCTGCCCCAATTTCCTATGCTGCCCTATCAGAAAAAGAAATGTGGCCTTAACTACCATCACATTTCCTTTTGCCTGTGCTTGGCCTCAGGGGACTGTCTTTCTTTTCAAAAGACTCATAAACTCATTTTCTGCTGCATTTTCTGACGTGGTGTGTTGATTTGGCCTAGTATTGGATGGATAAGCTCTGAAATCCATCCTTGCATAGTTCTGCCATATCCTTTGTACCTCATTGTGCTAATACTAGAACTGCAAAGGTACTCTTTTTTTTTTTAATGACAAAATTTTGCCACTTCAAAGCTGTAAAATAACTTAGGAGGAGGTGGGGTTCTAAATCTAAGAACACAGTCGATAGAGTTCTATTCTGGACATTTTAGGTGTACTTTACTTTTCTCTACCAACTGCAAGTCACTTTCCCTATTTGGGCTTAATTTCTTCTTTTGTAAGATGAAAATCTCGAGGTCCCTTTCAACACAGTCTCAGTGATTCTGATTGAGTCTGTGTTCTTCTGCTGAACATTACCCTAGAATTGATTATTGTGTTAATAATTTTTTTCCTCCTTTTATTTATTTATTTTTAGCGTATTATGGGGGTACAAGTGTTAAGGTTACATATATTGCCCATGCCCTCCTCCCCCCTCGAGTAAGAGCTTCAATGTCCACCCCCCAAATGTTGCACATCTTACTCGTGATTGTATATCCCCATCCCCTCCTCCCCACCCTCCCGACACCTGATAAATGTTACTCCTATATGTCCACTTAGGTGTTGTGTTAATAATTTTTAATTCACCTTTATTTTCCAGACACCACAAAAGAAGTAGTATTGTTACCACAGCAACACTGTGAAGTAAGTGGTGTTATCTATCCCCTTTTTACTGGTGAAAAAACTGAAGTGTAGTTAGGTTAAGAAGCACCTACTGTTAGTATCTGGGTAGTGGCATTGCTGGAATATGGAGCCAGGTCTGACTACGTGCTGGCTGTTTCATTGCTCTGGGCTACTTGTGCTGGCTGACCATGATGTGTACAGAATTTCTGTGTCTGCTTTTTGCTAGGAGTGGTGGCCCAAACCTGTAAACACTTTGGGAGGCTGAGGTAGGAGGATCGTTTGAGGCCAGGAGTTCAAGACTACCCTGGGCAGCATAGTGAGAAACCATCTCTACAAAAAATTTGAAAATTAGCTGGTCATGGTGGCACACACCTATAGTCCTAGATAATCAGGAGGCTGAAGCAGGAGGATCACTTGAGCCCAGGAGTTTGAGGTTGCAGTGAGCTACGAATGCATCACTGCACTCCAGTGTGGGTAACAGAGCGAGACCCTCTCTCAAAAAAAAAAAAAAATTCTGCTTTTTAAAGCAGATTGTTACTGTCCTCTACAGAAGGGCACAAGTAAGGAACTGGAGTCTCCTACTACTACAGAGTGGAAACTGCTATCTTCATGACCATATGCCATAGAAATGCCAGAAAGGCTAGTCTTGCTCTGTAAATGTTAATCCGCAATATCCTGAACTGATGAGTTTATTGGTTTAATATGAAACTCATAAAAGGAAGTGCTGTATCTGATGGACTTTAGAAATTAGTATTTTTATAACTTTAATATGGTACTCTTTGAGCTGCACTTAAAAATATAAGACAACCTGTTTCTATAAGTTACACATCTTCCATGGAGACACTGGAGATTGGAAGAACTGTTTAAGATGAAAGAAATATTTTATTATAACCTAGAGACAATCTATGTTCTTTGGAAAATCATAATTCGTTAAAACTACTAATTTAAGAATGAAGGTTGCTGCTGAAGGATTTGAACTACATTTAGAGTACTCAAAAAGTTGTATATATATCTTGTAGTTAGAATTAAAGTATAAGTTTGCAATCTGATGATTAGTCATTTTGATTATGTATGTAGTTGGACAACCAAGAACCAATAGTTACTAGCGCATCACAAAATAGGCTGTTTGACTTACAACTAAGGGCTTAGCCCAGTAAGTGAAAACTACAGAAAATCCAAATGCCACTTTAGTCACAGAGGTAGGGATAAGAGGCAATTAGTGAGTGGTGGATAGTGAGCTGCAGGTCACTTAATGCCTGGAATCTCCTTAGAGTGCAGAGAACACCCTCAGAGGAGCACAACCTCTCATGTTTCCAGATCACCCATTGTCATTAAGATGAAGGAACCTGAAACAAAAACCTTATTTGAAAATGCTTTTGGGGGATGGTCACGCTTGAAGCTCTGACTCCAGTGGGGGGGCATGGGCAGTATACATAACCTTAACATTTGTAACCCCATAATATGCTGAAATAAAAAAAAAAAGAAAAGAAAAGAAAATGCTGATGTTCACTTGAAATGAAAGGTGATACTATCCTTTTAAAGTTAGGTTGTTTCGATAGCTGCACTCTGCTTATTCACATAGTCAGATTTACAGCACTGCTAACCCTCCAGGACACCAGTAGAAAAATGAGTCCAGACAAGGAGTATGGGGCGGAGGGGTCAGAAAGTTACTCCTTTCTTTAAAGCTTTCTTCCTCTCCAAGCCATTTATCTTTTATAATCTCACATTTCTTTTTTGTAAGTTTATTTGGTCATCTACCCCATAACCCTCTATAAACAAACAAATCATTTTGGGCCAAACCAATCATGACAATTCTATATGAATTTTATTCAAGGTGTTTCTCTAAGCCTGAGAGGCTATACCTGGATGTATTAATACCTAGATCACCACTTGTTAGAGGAGTGTCATCTCTTATGATTACAGCTGTCTCATTGCCCCATGGATGACTCAGTGTCCATCCCTAGTTATACTAGTTCCCTGTTGTCTGTTTCTGTTGAAGGGGCCAGAGTTAGTGCCTACACCTGACCTTCACAGATGGTATTAGTGTGAACATCAGTGTTGCAGCTGAGACCACATTCAAAGAAGGACTGGCATGAAGAATAAAAATGCTTCGGCAGGATGTCATGCCACTGATCAAAAGTGACACGTGTCATGTCACTTTTTTTTTTGTTGCTGGGCAGTTGGGATTTCTGGTTAGTAATGCATCAGGAAATCCTGACTGCTCCTACCGTTGAGTAAAAGAATAAAAGTCAATCATGCCATTTGTCCCCCCCATTGTGACTGTGTCATGTCACTGATCAAAAGAGTCTTGGTACAGAACTACCAAGCACTCCTTTCTGTGGTGTTTCTGCACAGAAAGATCACATACTTGTTCCTGTCTGAGAAAACAGATATAGCTACTAGTATACGAACACATGCTCATATTCTGTGTGTGCATGTGTGGAGATCAATGGCTTCACTAAAATTAGAAAATACTGGATTTAATATTTGATCCCTTTAAAATAGACTATGCAGGTATTATGAAGAAATCTTAAGAGTAAAAGCTTTAGAAATATAAGGAAACCTCTGTATCAAGAAAAGTAATTTTTAGCACTTAATCTGTATTCTGTAAAAGCATAGAACAAAGCTTTTCATCAGAGCTTTAGGTATGGAAGCTTTCGTTCAGATGGCAAAATATGGGGTGGTCATTGTAAAGTCATTTGCTTTTAGAATCAAGAAGCAAAGCAAGGCACTTTGAAGATGAGTTTAAAAGATGTATATCCTAAGAATAAAGACAATAAATGCCAGAGGACTTAGGAATGCTCTAACTCTCCCCAGGCTCCTGCAGGCCTGAGCACCTGGCTCCTTAACTCTGTAAGCCTGATTCTGGAGACTTTGCTGTTGCCAGCAGCAATCTGAATCTGGGTGGGTGCCTCTCTGGAGAGCCAGGGGAAGAAAGGGGACAAATGTCATGATTGACCTTTATTCTTTTACTCAACGGTAGGAGCAGTCAGGATTTCCTGATGCATTACTAACCAGAAATCCCAATTGCCCAGCAACAAGGGGTTAAAATTGTTCTGAAAAGCTTTTTATGTTCTGAAAAGCTAAATTACACATACACGAAAACCACAAACATACAGCACCTGGGTAAATAAATTGTGGCCGAATAAGTGCCAGGCTATTTGCAAAAGGGAATCTGGAAAACATTTGTTTTGGGGTGGCTAACATTAGTTACACTTTATGCTTTTTTTTTTTTTATTATTGAAAATAGTTTGGTTTAGAGGAAATGGGACAAAAAACCCAGAATTTTAATGTGGCTATTGAAAATAAGACTCCAGTTCATTTATGCTCTAAATCTTAAGGGGCTACCAAGATTGAGAGGGGTGCAGAGCTACTGCAACAACACTTTTAGTATAGAAGTTGTTAAAGAACATTTCCCAGACATATGATGTGTTATAGGATGCATTGACGAGATTATTAGACATTGATTGTCCTCCAAATGTGGGATCAGAGCATCAGTGGTAAATTATAGCAGTTCAGATAATTAAATTTTAAAATGCTGTAAATTCAAAAGAACCAGACTTCACAATAAGCCAAACTTTCTATTCTAATAGAATTTGAACACCCAGGAGGTTATGCTGCAGAGGAATTGTGCTAAGCATACTTCATCTGGGTACCTATGTGACTAAGTGGGTCCTTGAAGGAAAAAAGAATAACCTCATTATGGCAGGGGTTCCCTATCTTTCAGTAGAAAGCTGTTAGTTGAGCTATAAGGAATTGCCAGTTTTGTAGGTTGGAAACTTTCAAAATCAGCAATTTCATATGATTCGACCTAATAATGATTTTGATTTTTTTCTAAGCCAGATTAAGCTGGGGTTGACAAGTCTGTGGAGAGAAAGGAGTAAGGGGTGGGGAAACAAATAGTAAAGCCCCTGTAGGATTCAGAAAACCAAATGCCTGATCATAATGAGTGGGGTTCCCAAAGATAACTCGGGAAAACTACTGGGTTTTGTGGACATGAAACTACATTATGAAACTATGAGATAAGGTTTCAGAATTGACCTTTTATCAGTGACAAGGGTACAAGAGGAGTTTAGTGGGATCATAGGAATAGTGTGGAAGATTGTTATACTATACCACAGCAAGGAAACAACTCCAGCATATACTAAATTCCAATCACAAAAGTGGGAATTAAGAACGGAGTCCTCAGGGTACCTCTGCTATTAGTCACAGAGACAAATGAAAACAAACTTATTGTGAAAAACAGTAACAGTATATCTTGTCCATATACTCAAATTCTTAACAGAACAAAAGCAAGCCAGGGAAATTTGTTTTTTTGATATTTGTTTATTGTCTCTACACCATAGCACCATAATTATGTTAAGGGAACAAGATATTCCACTGAATCTTGCACATTAAAAAAAATAACATAATACAAAATTTTGGTTAAAGCATTTTATCTATATTGGAAAACACTGCCAAAATATACTAAACTCCATATAAAACATAGGCATTACAAATATAATTATGAGGGTAAGTTGTGAGAATAGAACACATAATCCCTGAAATGATTATTAAAAGCTTACTATTTGGCTCACACCTATAATCCTAGCACTCTGGGAGGCCAAGGTGGACAGATCATTTGAGCCCAGGAGTTCAAGACCAGCCTGAGTAAGAGTGAGACCCTGTCTCTACTAAAAATAGAAATTAGCTGGACAAATAAAATATAGAAAAAATTAGCTGGGCATGGTGGCGCATGCCTGTAGTCTCAGCTACTCGGGAGGCTGAGGCTGTAGGATTGCTTGAGCCCAGGAGTTGGAGGTTGCTGTGAGCTATGATGATGCCACTGCACTCTAGCTGGGGAAACAGAGTAAGACTCTGTCTCAAAAAAAAAAAAAAAAAAAAAAAAAAAAAGCTTACTGTTAAGTACTACTGAGTTTGGACACAATAGTGCCTGGTTCCTGGACAATATAACCCTTGAAATAAAGGCTCCTCAAGACACATCAAAGCACAAAAGGTAACAAAGCAAAGGAAACATAGGCAGTACAAGTTCTAATAGACACAACATCTCACATTGGTTCTGAACTCTTTGTAACTCCTCCTAGCGTCAGAATTCTTAAAATTATTCACTTTGTGAGAAATTTAAAAATAAGATTTTTATCTATTTTTGTTACAATACTAAAGTTTACAAAGTTCAACATGTGACCAATATAAAGTTGCCAAAGGCTATAGATAAAACAGTGCAAAGTTTACATAACAAAGGCATATGGTAAAAACCATTATCAGTCATTAGTATGAATTCCATCCTATAATCTCATAAATCAGAGCTCTTAACTGTCTGGACTCATATGTGACTGTATTCTTTCCAATATGCATTCTTTCTTCTTCCAGGGGTTGTTCTATAATGGCAGGTATGTTTCTGCCATAAAGCTCACAGTGTTCTAGAAACTGGACACATTCTTGAATAACACTGTCACGAAGCATGATTGTGTGTTTTGACATGTTTTCTAACAAGGACAGGAAACATCTTTTGGCATAATACCAGGTATCAGTTCCAAGTTTTTTATTATAAGGTTCTAAGCTTTTGATAACTCGAGAAATACCAAAGTCATAATTTCCTTTGGCACAATAAAGAGTTCCTATTACCAAATTCACAATGCAGAGATGGTAGATTTTCTTATCTGGGTCATCATAAGAGAGCTGCTCTTCCTCCTTCTCAATCTTCCTCATCAACTCCTCAGCTTCTTCATTTTGACTTGTCATAATGTATGAAACACAGAGGTTAGCTAATACAATAGCACTGACACTCAGGATGTTATCATAATGTTTCTTGACTATGGGTTCATAGAAACCAATGGCTTCTTTGTACTTGTTTTCCTGCATGAACAGAACATGAGCCACATTCAGCTTCCACACATCATGGTCATTACAGAATTCCACAGATTTGCGAAAGATCTTCTCCACCATGGGATAATTTTCAAGGTTCCAGTAGATTTTGGCCTGCGCCATCAACACAGGAATATACTTCTCAAGAGTTTCATCATAGTCATTCACTGCCTTTTTGACAGCTTCCTCATCTCTATTGTGTCTTGCTTCCTGTACTTGTTTGGTGAGTCTCCGAAGCTGCTCAGTCAGCATCCCTGCTAGCCCATCAAGCTTAATGAAAGCCTCCTCAGGAGCTGTCTGGCAAGTGATCATAGCATCCAAGAAGTCATAGAGATAGGGTGTGAGGAACTTATATGTCAGATGGGCATTTTCTGCCAGGACATCTGCTGCCAGGTCAAAATACTCATATTTACAGTAGAGCAGCAACAGGTTGCCAAAAGTCTCTGGGGGGAAGGGATTCTGTTGGAGCAAAAACTGTAGCTTTTCGAATCCTTCTGTAGGTTTGGCATCCATGTTCATTAGTGCCTGGTTGTGCAGGGTCACAGGGTCCAACTCTTCCTCTGCCCTGGGTGGCATGTCAGTGAGGGCTTCCTGAGCTGCCTCATAGTTTCTCAGTTGGTATTCTATGGCTGCCTTGAGGTTGAAGGCTTCTACTAGAGCAGTCTGGTGGAGGACTAAAGTGTTGCCAACACTGTGAACATCAATGCCTTCAGTGGTCATGCCCACACCTAACTCTGGGTGCTGGCGGATGCCACGCTCAATAATATCAGCGATATGCTTCAACGCAGGGGCATACTGCCTGTTGCTGTAATAGGCCAAAGCCAGGTTGTAGGAAAGGTCAGGTCGGTAGCCCGAGGCCTGCAGGGCCGCAAAGAACTTGGCACACGCTGCTTCATATTGTCCCTCCTTGTAGAGCAAACAGCCCAGGTTGACGTGGCCATCGTGCTCATTCTCGCCCCCACTCTCTTCTGCCCCTTCCCCACCCAGCAGCTGCTCTACCAGGCTCCTGGCCCCTGACAGGTCGCCCTCGCTGTACTTGATAGCAGCTTGCAGGCGGAGGACTCGGCTGTGGTAGGCGGGGTTGTCCAGCAGGAGGAAGGCGACCCGGGTGGCCTCAGGATAAAGGCAGGCCTTGTACAGGGCCTGGGCCTGGTACAGGCGGTACTGCTCCAGTTCGGGGTGCAGCTGGCCCAGCTGCTCATAGCACTCGGCCGCCAGCGCGAACTCCTGCAGGCGGTAGTAGCAGTAGCCCAGCAGCGACAGGCCGGCGCGGCTCCTCGGGCTCCGCTGCAGCTCCCCGCCCAGCAGCTGCACCGCCTCGGCGTAGCGGGCATCTCGGATGAGCCGGTACACGACGGCGGTGAACTCCCCGTCTGGGATCTGCGAGCCGCTCAGCCCCGCCATAACCGCCAGAAATGTTTTGCTTGCTCGTTACCACGGCAACAGGAAACCGGAAACGGAAGTCTGCCCGAGGTTACTTTGCCACGGCAGGAACCCGTTAGGAATAAAAAGGGATCAGTGTTGAGTCTTTCAATTTCTGGTTTGGTCTTTGAAGACTCCAGACTGCGCAGTGGCTGCAATTAAGGAAGTGAGAGGAAGCTCCCGAGGCCGCTCAAAGCCCGGAACTCCCCCTCCCGGCATGCACCGTTGCTGCAGCGCCGCCGGTCGGACGTGGCCGCGCTGCATGCTGGGAGGCGTAGTTTGTACTGCACCGACCCTCTCCAGCGAGATGCAGGGTCACCGCCTTCCGCGCTTGTTAATGGTGAGGGTTGGTCGCTGTTTCTGTTGTGCCCATTAGGTCTCTGGTGCGCAGGAGGAAGGTTTACCGCCCGATGTTCCTTGCGTTTTGAGCTTCGTACATCGAGTGGCCGATAGTAATGGTGTCCTTTTTTGTTGTAGTGGAAGGAACGCGATGGAAAAGGCATGTCATCTCTTTGGAATTACCCTTGAATTATAATAGGTTGTTCTTATGGTGTTCTGAGGACACACTTTCCAAGAACAGAATAGTGCACCGACCAGCAGTTCTTATTTTGGTCATTTACAGAGATTTATAAAGGAAAAAATTGCTGTAAATCTTAACTCGTATTGGAAGAGTGTCAGTTTTAGATCCCAGTATCTCCTGCCCCTCTTTTCCATAAGAACAAATATTACTAAGTATATGTTAAACTTGCTCTGGTGTTCCAACTTTTACTACCAGGTAGAGACCTTGGAAAAATGCATGATCTCGTCTTTTCCAAGGGGAAAAATTGCAAGAGTGAAATGTGCTAGTTTCCCTATGCATTGTTACTTTTCTGACTCGCCTGACTCTAATAAATTAGACAGTCTTTTATGTGGGGTATATATGAGAGAGGCTCTGGTTCTACTTCTCAGGCTTGTAATGATATGTTGGATATTATTGAACTGATAAAAAGTGGATTTTTTTTCTGTTAAAATAAAAAGAAATTAACTTTTTCTCCGCATTCTCAGTTTGATGATTTCTATGCATATTTGCTAGACTATACAAGAAAACTTTCTGAGTTTTCTTTCATTCTTTGTCGTGTGTTTGGAATAGATGCTGTTAATGTCCCTGAGTTATTTTTGTATAATTTTTTTGAATTTTATAGTGCCTATGATGGGGTTGTGAAAAATTAGGGACTTAAGTATCTTATAAAATTATATTGGATCCGCCGGGCGCGGTGGCTCAGCCTGTAATCATAGCACTCTGGGAGGCCGAGGTGGACGATCGCTTGAGCTCAGGAGTTATAGACCAGCCTGAGCAAGAGCACGATCCCGTCTCTACTAAAAAAAAAAAAAAAAAATAGAAGAAAATTAGCTGGACAGCTGAAAAAAATTATATTGGACCACTAATAAAAATAAACATACCCATAGATTAAACAGAGCTGGAAATAATAAAATTTGTGGGAGAATAATATAATTTTTCAGTCACGAATTCTGGAAGTAGACAAGATAGCAAAATACAAAATTGGTTCATCCCAGTGAGGTAGTGGTAAATTGTGTGGTTTTCAAGATAACAAATAATAAGTATAATTTATGAGCATCTATCATACATAGCTCCTTTGCTGCTGGCCTGGGACAGCGCATTGTCTTTCATAGTCTTCCATGATCCTCATTGGCCCTGCTCAAGATAAACAGTCCAAGTCAAAGCATGTCTTTTGTATGTAATTGAAGACTTCAGTACAGGTACCTTATCTGCCTTCTCACTAGTGTTGCGTCCCATAAATCTTTTCTATGTATAAATTTTGGAGCTAACACCAACAATGTTGCATGGCACTCTGTTAGACTACCTACATATCTTATTTCTAATCATAGTAACCACTCTGCATTCTACATATTACAGATGGAGAACCAGTGACTCAGTAAGATTAAGTAACTTGCCCAAGATCACACAGTTAGATAGGAAGGGGTTGAACTATTATATTCAAAAGCGAAGTTCAGTAAGAAATAGTGACTGATGAGTTAACTCAATCCACCTATCATGTATGGGTCCAGTTATGAGGGAATATTGGTGTCTTGCTTTTTGCTGTTGTTGTTATTTTCCCATTAAAACAAATAACCAGGTTGGTTTGAGCAGTAGAAATTTGAACTCTCTGGCCTGAGTTGCAGCTGTGAGCAAGTGTTAGGAAGTGATTAGTGTGAGACGACCACTTGTTAAAGCTAGAAAGCAACTTCATCTGAATACTATACCATAAAATAACTGACTTCATGTACTTACATTTCTTCTCCTTTGCTGAGAAGTTTGCCACAGCTGTGTTCTTCTGAATGGGAACAAAGTATCTCCTACTGCATCAATACCAAGAAAGGGACAAACTGCATCCATTTCAGAGGGATAGAGTGTGCAGCTCTGGACTACTCAGAATCATGAGAGAAAACAGCTGACAAAGGCCACTATAACCCTACTCCAAGGCTTCTTCCAATCTTATCTCTAGTTATACCCCTATCCAGTCTTCAACCCAGGAATATACTTGAGTTGAGGTATGCTAGTGAATGCTGCTCGATAATCATCAGGGAACAGGAAGTCTTTTCCTTTTTGTCTGCCTGATTGACACTTGTCCCTTGGAAACAATATCCAAGAGCCCCATATTTTAAAATTTGTATATATTGAGCTGTTACTTTTAAATTAAGATGACAGAACATGAAAATGGTAAATTGCCTTTTATATCTTTAGCCTGATTCCCTGTTTTACAGAGTTGAATTTGCATCATGGAAGCATTCGCCTTCAAGTGGCTTCTTGAAAATGTGTGAAAAATGAAAGGTCTATCTTGCTCTCCTCCAAATTTCTCTGATCTCTACGGCCATCAGTTGTGCGGTTACGTGAGAGCATGGCAGCTCAAGTCGGCAGGAGGGAGGCTGTTCTGTGTCTTTCTTCCTATTTCCTGTGGTGCTGCTCCAGGGGCCTGGCTTGAAAAAAGCAGGACATTCGGTTTAGACAGATGGAGGCAGGGTCATTTTCAAAATGAAATGAGTGCACAAATCACGCTGTGAAATTGGCATGTCCATCACTGTTGCTGTGATAGACTGAGTTTTATTTGGTCTCCTATAGGCAGTTGGGGAATAGATTCATTTTGGGGGTGGGGGGGAGGTGAAAGGAGGCCCTTTAATTAATGATAGAAATTCTGGAAAACAACAAACAAGATGGAATATTATAAAATATCATAAAGAATTATTTTGTTTACAACAGAATCTTGAAAAGCTGGAACATATATCAAAAAGTAAGTCTATAATACCATTCCCAGCAATAAGAAAGCACTCGATGTTTGTAATAAAATGATTTAGTGCCTTATTTAAAGGAATTAAGCTTTCAGGAAATAATGTTGGACTCAGGGTGGATTTTGCTGAATAAGGGGAGGCATGTTTACCATGTATAAGAATTCCATTTAGGCAAAATATTGTAGTAGAAAACATGGTGTTTGTTTCTTAACATGTTTATGTTTCTGCCTGCCAAAATGTGAGATGATCAAATCCCATGTATGTTCTGTTTGGCAGTTTCTTTTAAACTAATTGGAAGTGATTGTTTCTTATTTTTTTTGTGTGAAAATAACCACTTCTTATTGGCAAACATTATTTATTTATGAGTATTTTAACCACAGCCATGGTCAAACATCTTCCTTGATAAAGGAAGACTTTTTGTAAAATGATTTTCTAGTTGTTATTTCTGTTTCCCATTCATTGTAGGCCATTTTCTTCAGGGCGTCCAGTTTGGGAGGCTCAGTTTCTTGCTGTCTCTGAGTCCAGATTGATTTTTTTTTTTTTTTGGCCTATATGCATCCCTTAATGATGATGCCACCTTCTCCTGCCACTACCTCCCTCATATCACTCATCCTCTACCAGTAAACAGGGAAGAAAAAAAAATAAATTAGGACCAAATTTGTAATGTAGTTGACTGACCTTTAGAAACATCTATTCAGTCTTTAAGAGTTTTTGACAAGACTTTACGCCAGATCAGCACTTGGGAACATGTATACTCAGATGGGGAGAACTTTAACCTCATTGTGAGATTAATTTTCTTTTCTCGATGATTCCAGTTATGTTAATATTTTAAATAGTAATATGTCTTGCTTTTCATCAAATGGATTTTTATTTCTGGGTTTATGGTATTGCTATGGTTTGGATATGGTTTGTCCTCACCAAAACTCATGTGGAAATTTGATCACCACTGTGGCAGTTTTGGGTGGTGGGGCATAGTGGTAGGTGTTTGGGTCATGGGGGTGGATCCTCATGAATGGCTTGGTGCCACTCTCACGGTAGTGAGTGAGTTCTTGCTCCTATGACACTGGATTAGTTCTTGAGGGAATGATTAGTTCCCATGAGAGTGGGTTTTTATAAAGCAGGTTTTGCACCACTGTACAAGTCCCCTTCCCCTTTGATCTTCCATCATGTTATGATGCAGCACAAAAGCTCTTACCAGAGGCCAAGCAGATGCTGGCACCATGCTTCTTGTACTTACCAGCCCGAAGAACCATGAGTTAAATAAACTTCTTTTCTTTATAAATTGTCCAGTCTCAGGAATTCTGTTATAGCAACACAAAATGGACTAAGACATCTAAATTAATTTATTAGGAAAAATATATTAATATAATTTACAAAAAGGAATTAGCAGAGAAGGCACAGTTGTGGGTATTACCATTGAAAAATTTATTCCCCAGAGTTGGAGTGTGCTGTGGGATACACTGATGGAGCTGTTATCCAATTTACTTCATTTGGGTATCTCTCACTGCTTCCATTTCTAAGAGCCAAGAAATATTGAAGTATCACTGCTGTCCTACAAGAGTGGAATCTTTCATAGACATATCCTGTTATGCCTGTTTTCATTTCTGCAATACAGCCATGAAGATAATAAATTGGATGGGAAAAGGTCTTTGGAGTCCATGGTCAAAGATGAGATTCCTAAAAGAAAAATATCATCAGCCTTTGAACACAATTTTTGGCTTGCAAAACCTTCGGTCTGTTTTTCCATAGTATCAGAGACCATCTCTAATACCTTTGATGACCAGCCATCAAGTTGTCTGAAATGACACAAATTTTCAGTTGGCTGTTGCCTAAAATGGTACAGGCCTGGTCTCATTTCTCTTTAAGTCCTGAGCAGTGACAATATGCATAACTGTCCTATTGGATTATGCTTTAAATTTTCTTGCTAAGATTAATGCAATATATACAATTAGTTCTCCTCAGACCACACCAGCCTTCTAAATAATTAAGAACTGGATGACAATTGCCATGGCGTTTGAGCAGCAACCTAAGTTCTGCATTAGTTTTTGAGGCCTTCTCTGTAGAGTTATTGAACGCATTTCCAGGGTCTGTGCTGGTGGACCAAGAGACCAACCCAGAAAGCAAGACCGTCCTTCAAGCCACTTGCTCTCTCATTTCCCAAATCCAATAAATCAAATTCTGACAATTGTGCCTCTGAAATAGCTCAGCTCTGTATACTTCTCTCCAGTCACTACCACCACTGCTCTGGTTTCTGCCACTACCATCTCTCTCCTGGATACTGCAGCAAACCTCCTTTTTCCCCCTCATCTCTTCCTGGGATTCTGCCAAAGATTATGAGGCAATTTATCTCCCTTTTTCAGGATTTTATTTTGGGGACCTCATTAAACTTTTAAATGCATTTTACCATTGCTCCCAGGAAATCACAGGATCCTTGTACAAAATAGAACTCCCAGTGGCTTATCTTCCTTTGCCAGAGTTTCTATCTCGGGTGTGTAGAGTGTTGCTCAACCCAATGACTTACTGCCTGAGTGTATGGGAATGTATTGGGACTGAGGCTTCAAATGGTCTGAAACCATTTTGGAAGGAATGGTTTCTATATATGGTATTAGAAGTTGAGAGTAATGTAGAGAACTTAAATTGATTTAGTGACTTTCTTCTAGTGAAGAATTTAA